CACTCAGCATTTGAATCCAAACTTTGTTGTGTTGAATGTGTAGAATATGTGACATTACTGTACATGTGGGAGAAGAAACACCAGGTAGGGAAAGGATGTTTAATATTTTTCAAACCCAAATTGTTAAGATTTTAAAGAGACAAGCTGGGTGTAGCTCCCACTCACAGGTATTGGACCAAGGATGCTGCTGATGGTCAAGTTAAAGCCCACTAGGGCCTCATCTACGTAGTGTGCATATTTTTCTCCCTTTACATGCTGCTGTGTATCCCCTCATCCATGGTGTGGCCAGTCTGTCCTGCTCCAAACACATGTGTCAAATAATTAAACTATAGTGTCCTTGGAGCCTTGTGCTCCTCACAAATGGTTTTCCATTCTGGGAGGGTGTTGAGATGAAAAACTAGGGATGGGACCACGGTGCTATTTAAGATGATTTATTGCTCAAGTAAGCCAGATAAGATACTGGTCTCGAAGGTGTGAGATTTGGAGAGGAGCAACAAGTCAGCCATAGCTCAAGGTAGGCATGGGTTTCTTCTTTACACAGCAATATATAACATTTTGGTCCAATAGACAGTTAACACAAAACTTGTTTCTACTTAATAGCCCATCACCTTTGCTTAATTCTGCTGCACTGCATCTGTCTTCTAGCCAATGAACTGAGAGGTCACGTACCCACACACACCTCTATTATAGCTTCCAGATCCTTGGCCTGCCCTAAAAGTCACATTATTACAGCTTAAACTTCTCACTATTTTATCTAATATAATTTCTTACCTGCTTAAGGCATAGTCTTACTTAAAATTATAGGAATGTAAGTTTATAATTTTTCTACTTAATGTTTGTGTATCTTTATCACTACATTAACCCAAGCTCTTTGTAAGGCTGCAGATTGAACCCTTCAGCATCTGTGGAAGTTTCTATTTTTCCATTTCTCACAGAAGGGCATGTAGTGCAGACTTCTGTTGGTGAGGGTTTGATTAACTGTTGTCATTGTGGCCAGTGTGGAGCATATAAGCTTTAGCATGACCAAAGGTATGGACTGAATTTCTTACCTCCTCTGCAGCCATCCAGATCTTCAGAGGTGAGGTTAATGCCTCTTCTCTGTGCTAACTGCTCCTCTAGGTACACAAAAACTGAGAACAGAAAAGGGTTTCAGCAGCAGCATGTAATCCTTAAACTGGAAATGAGGCTTTGAGGAATCATTCTGAACTGGTGCTGTCAATGCTAAGGTTCAAGATGAATCTCTTGTAAATGTGGGTGTTTGTAAAAAGCTCTGTGCTGTAGAGAAGCACCTTACAAGGTATTAACTTTGGATTTGACGGTTTTGCTGACAGCAGGACTGGCTTTGGTTTCTCGTGCAGGAAGTATGAGCACGATGCCAGTATGTCAGTCGTGTGCCAATCAGCCCAGCACACTTTACCCTCTTAGTAGGAGGTAATCAGAAGATGGCAAGACTGCTAAAATCCTTAACTTCAAGTACAGATACAGTATTTTCTGGCAGTAAGAAGTTGCAATGCATTTAAGCTGAGCTCTTTAAATGACAGAGGCAACTTGTCATTTTAAACTGATGACTCATAAAGCCTGAAGCAGTCCTGTCCTCAAAGCAGAACAAAATCATCTCCATCTCCTTTGGCAGTAGTGCAACAAATATACTAACACTCCTGACTAAAGAGCAACTTCCTTTTGTTTGGTTCTCTTCACTGCTATGCTAGCTGCAGCAGTACTATATGAACATAAACTAATGCGGCAGTCTGTTCAAATAAAAATTCAGTAATTTAATTTTTGTTTTGTTTCTTGTTTGTTCTGTTAGGTTCTTATATTTTACCACCACCCTTTGTATCAGGAATATCCCTTCCTGTGGCCAGGTAATAAAATGCCAGCACCATGGGCTAATACAACTAATGTGCACAAACTGCTACAGTTCCTGGAGACCACACTTGGGGAGCGAAGTCGTTACGGGACTTTCCACGTATCTCAAGCAATTCTCACACCTCGAGTGAAAACAATTGCATGGCATCTAATTCGTGGTCTGAAGAACACCCTTGTTCTTAGGTAAGGACTTGTCTTGATTTTCTCAGTTCTTTATTTAACAAGCCTCATGTTGAAAGAGGCACTGAGCAAGCAAGAAATTAGGAGATGTTTGCTTAGGCTTGCTGAAAGCACGCTGTTTTGCTCCGTACTGTTGTTCATTAGCAATAGTTGCAGTCATTAAAAATAAAGAGTTATTGCAAATAATAAAGTAACGTGTTTCCTGGTAATTGGAACTTTTTCTGAATGTGGTATGATTTTGTAAAATGTAGGATGGATGTGTGGCTTCAAACCAATAATTCATTTCAAACTTGCTGAAGTTGACTTTAGGGGGGTGAAAAGAGCTTGTGCCACAGAGGAAAATTGCTTATTTCTGGACTTAGTTTTGCATTTGTCCACACAAATGTTTCAGTAACTTCAGTAATGGCCAGAGGTATATGACCATGGGCAGTATTTTACCTTGTATTTTTAAGGGGCAAGAGGATAGTTTTCCAAAAATTAAATTCACATTTGACTTTTTTTTAATACCACTGTATTAAAATTGTGCAGTTAATTTTCCTATGAGTAAGGTCACTGTAAGAGGGTTTTGCTTTGATCAGCACAGGGTGCCAGTGATTTTTAATAGTGTTAACAGCATGACCAGGAGAGTTTCATATGATTTATTTTATGGAATTATCAACTTGTAGCTCGTTTGCTAAAAATTACCAGAACTGTAAAAGTCCTCTTGGATATTAGGAAGAAATTCTTCACTGTGAGAGTGGTGAGGCCCTGGTACAGGTTGCCTAGAGAACTTGTGGATGTCCCATTCCCTGGAAGTGTTCAAGGCCACGCTGGGTCAGGCTCTGAGCAACCCGGTCTTGTGGAAGGTGTCCCTGCAAGCGGCAGGGGCTGTAGGACTGCGATGATATTTAAGGTCCTTTCCAGCCCAGGCCCTCGGTGATTCTGTGAATAAGAAAATCGGCGGTTCGGTATAAATCGCGGGATTTCCAGTCCCGTTCCTGTTTAGAGGCGTCGGTCGGGCACAGTCCCGGTGTGTGAGTCCCGGTGTGTGAGTCCCGGTGTGTGAGTCCCGGTGTGTGAGTCCCGGTGTGTGAGTCCCGGTGTGTGAGTCCCGGTGTGTGAGTCCCGCTGCTCTGGGCGGCGCTCGGCACCAGGTGGCGCTGGGGGCCCGCGAGTGCGGGGTCCTGAGGGCCGGCAGCGCCGAGGCGGGCGGGACTCCTGGGCCAAAGCTACCAAAGGATCGCTGCGTTCCGGGGAATGGGCGAGCAGCTCCGTTTCGAGGGATTCCTGGCACAGATCTGTGCTCTAAGCCACTGTGTTAGCGGGAAGCCTGCCTTCAGTTCATCCCTTTCCCTCGTCTTTACCACTTGTTTGCGATTAAACCACAAGTTGCAAATAGGTTCTGCTGTTTGCATAAGCACAACTACTTGTGTAGTCATTTGCACAAGCTAGCTGATATGCAAATCTGTCACACAGTTTTATGTAGATGCCTGCCTTCTTGTAGGAAAATTGTGCCCTCAATTTGAATATTTAAGTGTTCTTGAGCTCTGCTAAAGGAGACTTGCAACAAGTCACACTTACCTGGCTGAAGTCTGTTGCATCCCTTGGCAGCAATTATGCCTTCACTCATAGTTCTTCATATTTTTTTTAATTGTCCTGATGCAGCAGGAGTGGTGTGTCTTTAAGTTTTTTGGGTTTTTTTTTTCTCTTCATCATCCTGTTAGCTAATTTTCTAGCCTACCATCTTGTCAAATAATGTATATATGTTACAGCACTAATCTAAACAATGCTAACATAGTCATTTGTGTCAACTGCTGAAAAGCATGGCATTTCATCTTAGAGTGCAAGAAAACTAGTGTAGATTTCTGACTTGCACTGTGTCCAAGAAATTACTTGACATTTTTCTCATGGTAGGATTTCTAATTTGATTTGACTCAGTTCCTGACACACCTCTCCTTTATCCAGTTACAGTGATGTATAGCAGGATGTTCAACCCCTATGGAGGTTCATTCTAGGTTTGGATTCCCTGACCCCATTGCTCTGAGTGGGTCTGGAGGCTGGAGAGAGTTTGGGAGAAATGCAGTGTGCTGCCTCCAATAACTTTTTTACCTGCCCACCCTGAGGCAGAGAAGGGCAAGGGAGCATCTTGGGCCGGGTATAACCTTGCTTTGTGTTACACTGGTCTGCTGTGAAATTGAGAGTTTGCCATAAGGTGTGCTTGGGTGAAAACAAACCACAGTGGAGAAAAGTTGCAGTGCAGTGTTAAATCCTGAAGCACAGACTGCCCAGTGAATATAGAGGGTTTTTGTATGCCTGCTAGTTTGGATTGTTGACTGACCATATACCTGATAAATAGCCAATGACCAAATGCTGTGTTAAGCACTCATCAGCCAGTTGAATTTAGGGTGACAGCCAGGCTCTGATCACAAATATGAGATAATATATTTTGTAAACAGCATGTTGTGTTTGAAATTAGACTATGTATAGAAAAGTGCCTCTTCTTTCTTCTTTTTTTAATTTATTTATTTTAATTTTCTTTGTTTCAATTTCTTTAGGAACCTGCCCATGATTTTGAATTGGGTGAAAGCACAGAAGCCTGGTGTTATGGGTGTTAACATAATTACATCAGACTTTGTGGAGCTGGTTGACTTCGCTGCTACAGTTATTGCATTGAACGACCTCCTTTTGGAAGACGATGAATCTGCAACTTAAATCCTGATTGCTGTGTCCCACTTGTGCTCCTTAGTGGACATCTTTGAACTATGCTAAATGTTTTACTTGTCAAGTGAAACCTATTGTAATCTCTTTATGAAAAAATGTTTCCTAGAGGAAACGTGGTGAAACATCGCATACAGCCAGGTCCTTTCTCCTAGAGTGGTGTGGACCTGAGTGAGCTGAGTGCTGTGTGAGTGCTGCTGTGTCAGTCTGTCTGTCTGTGAGTGCTCTGTTTGGCTGAGCTGTGCACACATCTCCTCTGGCATAGCTGGGCTCAGCTGGAGGCTGCTGCTCTGTTCATTACGCTGTTTTAGACGCTACCTCTGACTTACTTGAAGAGACAATACTGCTGTTGTTCAGGTGGAAGCTGCTAATGCTGCATTAAATATCAAAACTGTCCTTTGGGCCTGAGAGGTGAAGGCTTGGCACAATCTTTCTTCTCAACCTCTGTTTTACTTTATTATTTCAATACATTAATTGCAACAGTGTTTAAGTGTATTTTTTTGGCCTTAATTTGGAGAATATTTCAGTCTTATTTTGCGGATTATAACTCAAGTCTGAATTCCTGTTTCCTGTGACATATAGGAAACTTTCATTTTCCTGAATTCCTGGGACATTTAGGAAACTATGGCATAACCTTTCTCTTTTACCTGTTGGTAACCTGTTGGTTACTTGGGGTTTTTTAGTCCATCAAACTTCACTTTTCTCTCACCCAGGCAGCTCTCCTCTGGAAGGAGATGGGCCAAGTAGGGGCTTGCTTGATATTCAGAGAACTGTACCTGACAGGGACTGCTCCAAGCCCAAATATTGGATCACTGTGATTTGTGATGGGACAGTGAATTCTGCAGTCAGACCTGAAAATTGTGCTTGTAGACAGAGAGCCACACCTATTAAGGGAGAAATTTCTCCAGCCTTCACCTGCTTGTGAGAGAGTAAGCAATAATCACACAAGTACAGGCTGATGTTAGTACTGCTTCTTTCTTTAGTCATACTTATTTTTGTGCTGGTTCACAATGAAATGTGACTGTGTATGTTTGAGCCAATGGTCAAACATATGTTGGTACTTATCAGCACTTAATTTACTAGCTGATAATATCCTATGGTCTGATTTACCTTCATTGTTTTATTTTTTTTAAAAATGCACAAAAGGGACTGATTAGCAGATACTTCTCTGCTCAATCATCTTCCTGAAACAACTATTGGTGCACTAATTATCTGGTGATTATGAATTTGTATTTATCTCCAAGCTTATTTATTATAGAATGGATTGTCTTTATACGTATTTAATTCAAAGGAAAAATTTATCTCCAGGTTTATTATTTATTTTGATGTTTTATCCTGTATCTGCCATTATGGTCTGACAGCTGTGAAAAATCCCAGCTTTCTTGTCACAACTCAGGAGAAATGTAAAGGTTTGCAAATCTTCCATGTGAACCTTGGCCGAGTTCAGAGCAGACTGTAATCTGATTTATCTGTTGTTTGCCTGGCTTTCATTAGAGTTCCTTGAATTTTTTTAACTGAATCGTTTCTCTAAGGGAGTTGGGGGTGGGGGCAGTGCTGTCACACACTGTCTTTCTCCTTTCCACTTGTGTCTCAGTGATAAAGGGACTAGTCCCAAAAATCAGGGTTTGGGAGCTATGTTCAAATTTGTTTTAATACTTCCTTTTAAAACCACAGCAGAAGGTTTTTATTGAATTTGGTGCTTTTCTTCTTGTTGATGAAGCCATCAGAACCTTTTTTGAACAGTTCTGTTCAGTCTGCAAGTTTATTTAAAATACCTGGATTTTCCTTAGCTGACTTTTTTGTTTATTTTACTACTACTTTACTCATGGCCCCAACTGAAACTCCATGTGGATTTGGTTTTGGTGGTTTCCTTCTGCAAATTGTCTTGGTGCTCAGAGCTCAGCTGGGTGTTAACACCAAAGTTGTGGGTTTGTTCCCAGTATGGGCCATTCATTTAAGAGCTGGATTCATTGCCCTTATGGGTTCCTTCCAGCTCACAATATTCTGTGATTCTCTAACTTGGCTTGAATACCAGTGAGGCAGAAATAATACTTTGCAAGGTTCCCTGCAGAACTGGAAGAGAAAGGTGAAGTGAGTATGGTGTTTGTACGTGACCCTTAATTTATTTTCTACTATATATATATGTGCCTCAAAAGAGATTTGGCTTAGCCAATATTTGTATTGTGTGTGCACAGTAATGACTTATTAGTCCTTCTGCTGTATTTGTTTAAATAGATATGGGATGGGCTCAGGGCTTTGGTTAGAAGTTTTTAAATGCACTCTCAGAAGTTTAACATATTTGCTGCTAGTTCACACCTGAAACATGCTGGGTGTTAAGAATGTTAGCAGAGGGAAAAGAAATGGAAAACAGATTTAGTACTAATGGTTAAGTATATGGGGAAGGGAAACATTTCTGTAAGTTTGGCCTGTCAGAAGAGACTTGAGTGTCATTTCAGAGCAGGGCTTGGTGGTGTGCTTCCAGTGTGAGCAACCTGACAGTCCTAAATGGTGAGTTGGGCAGTTGGCAGGTGACACTTGTCTATGACCTGACATCTCCCTTGGCTTCCTACTCTGGGCAGCTTTCATGCTGGTGTTTAGAATTGGTCCTAGGGTTGTCCGAAACCACCCTAAGCAATATGAACTGCCTTTCATCTATTCTGTTACACAGAGAAAAGCTATCCATATAATGGGCTTATCTTGCTTACTCAACACCAAAACATATCCAGACTTCCTCATGCTTTGCAAAATTGAGCTCATCCGGGCTTGGACTTTGGGCTGTGGATTCCATTTTCCAGCGTTACAAAATTAAAAGGTGAGCTAGGCAGGAAGGGAGGATCAAGGAAATAGGGCAGTAGTTTGCATCCAGTGCCCACATGGAAGGTGTGGCAATGCTTAGCCCAGTTCTGGGCAGCAGAATAGAGCAGGTCTGGCAGGTGAGTGACAGCACTGCAGCTCACACTTGCTTGGCCAAGTCTGGCCCCTGAGATCAGCAAATAACAGCCTGCAAGGTCAGCTTGAGGAGAATAAAGATGTGTGTGAGCACAGGAGAAGGTGGGGGGGTTCTTACAGTTGATGTAGATGCTCATCTGGTGTATACAGTGGTTTTAGTCTTGCTTGTATATCCCCAAAGCACTAGAGTTCACTTTTAAGTGGGCTGGGAAGAAAACCTCCCCAGAGGAATTGTTCTGACCCCTTGACCATTTGGTAGGTTCTGGGAGAGGAGAAGCCAGAAAATGAGCAGCTGCTTGAGGCAAAGCACTTAAACTGTGTATTCTTGAATAATTGCACATATAGTTTGTTATTACAGATTCAGGTTAGTTATAGACTGTTTTATGACTTGTTTCCCTTCCTGGTGTACTGTCCCTGAATGCTAAGCACACTGGTGGCATTCCTCTTCTCACACTGATTGCTGCTATGTGCCATTTAAGGGCATATTTGAGGCACAGTAGACCTCTGTGTGTATCCCTGATGGGAAGTAGTAGATGTTTGTTGTGGAGCATCTATGAGTTTTTAGCCTCTTACTGTGTCCCACAGGTGAGAACAAAAAGCAGGTAGTACTAGATGTTGCACACTGACAATCATTTGGCTTTTACTTGGGGCCTACTGTCACAATGTACTGAACTGCATAGGGAAATGGTGGAGTCACCATCTGTGGAAGTGTTCAAAAATGTGTGGATATGGCACTTGAGGATATAGTGTAGTAATGAAAACACCACTGATGGACTTGATAGTCTTGGAGGTCTTGCCCAGCCTTAACAATTCTGTGATTCAGAATACAAATGCTGCAAAAAGGCCCATATTCTGTTAAACAGCCTCTTTGAAGAAAAGAATATTAGGGAAATGGTGTCTTTGCTCCTAGCACGTGCTGGGTTTTGCTGTTGTTGGTACTGACTTAACTGAATGTTGGAGTTTAAAAAGCACCTGAACTGTAAGGTGCCTTTTAAACTCCACTTTTGAGCGGGGGTTTTGTCTCAAACAGGAGCAGGGCTTCTGCCAAGATGCTCATCTATTCTCATCTACTAAGCCTTTGGAAATACTTTATTTGCATACCTGTCTCAGGTGTCAAGAGTTCATTGATACATCATTTAGCAGACCAGGGTTTGGGACATAGAGGACATGGATATTTTGATTTGGAATTGGGTTACTTACGCAAGTCTGAGCATGTGTGACTTGAGGTTTACTTGAATATGCAGTATTTAATATGACATTCATATGCTGTTTTCATAAGACTTTCATCTTGACTTGAACACATAGCTCCCAGTCCCTAATGAGCAAACTTTTTGGTTAGAGGACCATTGTTTGGGACAAAACTACAGGTAAATTTTCAATGCTTGTTAAAGCACAGAGAAATTGTCTAATGTGGGGAACAGAACTGACTCAAAAAATTATTTGAATTATTGATCAAGTGCAAATGCAGTCCTTTTGGCAATGAAAAATAAGACTTTTTTCTTCTTTGACAAATTCTTACTCCAGCTTTGGTTTTTAGCTCAACAGATGGGTAGAAGAGCCAGAGCATATGGTGAAGAGCAAATAAATCTTATGCTAAGGACATGTATGTAGAACTAACTGTGGTAAGAGTATGGTGATTTACTTAATGACACCTTTAGTGGTAATCCTATCAGCTCTTTGGTTTAGGTTGTTAAATCAGTCTCTGTTTTGCATTAAAAATAATAAGTCCCACTAATTCAATACATCTGTTCTGTTGAAGTGTGTTTACTTCTGTATGCATATTTATTTCTTTACAAGTCTCACCAAGTAAACTGTTAATTGTAGGGACTGGAATAGGAATGTCAACTTTAGAACTGTGTGCTGAATCTGCTTATGTTTTATATCCCTGAATATTTATGCATTGTGTGTTGTCCATTTAAACAGTACTTACCCTTTGTTAGACCTGTCATACCATCTATATAGAACTGCAGTGTATTCTTAATTTTGAAGGAAGTGCTGATCAGCACATCCTATATAAAAATAATTTAGATGGTTCTTTGATTTTTCTCAATGTCAAATGTATTTTCCAGATTATTTTTTTTTTAATTTATACTCTGAAGGGTGCAGAGGAGACCAGGTGAAGGGGAGTTAGCAATTCTCAGTATTTATTTTGTGCAGTCTGTCTTTTGTCAGTTTGTGCTTTCCCCACCTGTCTGATTCAGTTTTGTGAAACCAGGATGCCTCATCTGCAGTCTCAGCTGCAGATAAATTTGGGGTTTACATCTGTTTCTTCTGCTTTATATCATTGGAGGTTTTAATCCTGAAAATAATAAAAATAAAACTTGAACTAATCATCTTGGCTGTGTGTTCTGTACTGCTGACTGTTTTGATACATGATGATTACATTGTGAGTCAGCTAACATCAGTTGAGCTTGGTAGATTCTCTGGTGCAGAATGGTGTCATTGAAGGTTGGTGGGGGGTTTTTGTGAGGTGCTGCGTCTTGCTGCACTTGTGTCCCCTGAGTAGGCAGACCCAGACAACATCCTTATTTTTAGGATGTGCTGGCAACTTCTCAGTGCAAGTAGTAGTGCAAAGTGATTAGAAATCAGTGTGTGCTTGCACTTGTGTGTACACACAGCTAACATCTTTGCCTGACTGCACTGGGACAAAAGCATGGCCAAAATCCATGGATCCAGTTCTGTCCTGGAAGGCAAGTACAACCTCTGTGCAGCCTCTACTGCTGTAATACAGGTGGTGAAGCTCCATTGTAATGCCTGATCAGGAAACAAAGCATTGTTAATGATTCCTAGAGCGTGTACTAATGTCACACGTTTGTAACCCAGTGAGATCAAACACACCCTTCTTTTGGATTGTTTTCAGTGTGCATGTGTTGGAAATGTGGGAGTACTGGGGGTGGGGAGAGGGAGAGAATGCATGGTCCTGCTTCCCTCATAGTTTTAGACAGTGGTAACTGAGGAGGAGCTATCTGTAGATATTTTTTTTTTTTCAATACCAAAGTTAGAGCTGGGAATTCTGAGTTTAATCACTACCTGTTGTCTCAGACCTCGAAGGAATCTAGTGACTGGCATAAGCTGCCAGTGTGTAAAAAGTTGATGGTTAAATAGCTTGGAGTGGCACTGAGGCTTACACACACACACACCCCCACCCCCATATACCATTTCCCCAGGCCAGGAAAATTATGTAACTTGGAGGGTACAAGAATGAGTCTGATTTCATCATATTGATTCCCCAGGGGATTTAATGGAGATTATTTTTTAATTTTTTTAGTTTGTGTGCCTTTAGCAATGCTGGACAAGGTCACACATGTATGTACATGCACATAATATGCATGCAGTAAATGGTTATTTTGAAAGTGTGCAATGGGACTGCAAAAACTAGAAGCACTTTCTGTGAGAAATTTATGCACGCCCTTTATACTGAGTTTCGCTGTTGCCACAAACCTGTGATTAGCTGCTCAAACAGAATCATTCCTGAATTGCGTGTGTCTTACCATTTCCCTCTTGGGGGATGCTGCTGAACCTGCATGCAGCATTTTTAGCTGTGGAGGCTAAAACTCTTGCTTGCTGTCTGAGGGACAGCCAGTTTGGAGCCTGGTGTGTGCTGCCAGCAGCTCTAGTTCCATGTCTAGCTGGAAGGTGAGCAAAATGCTGGCAGGCTCTGGAGCTGACTAATGGTAATGTCACTGATTCTTCTCATCAGTGAGGTGACACACCAGGCACTTGCATTAGACTAGAACAGCATTTGACCAAAAAGTCTCTCTCAATTTAAATGTACTAAGTGGGGTCAGTTTGTCATGCTTTTGGGTGAGCAGATGCTGGAAAAAGAAACCAAGTGAATTTTGAACTACTGCTGGTTAATGAGCCCAGCTGCTCTTCTTGGGGATCAGGGTTTGATCCACTCAGCTGATTGTGCCGCTGCCTGAAGTCAAGACAAAGTGGATTCTTCTGAAAAGATGGTGAGTGTGACCAGGATCATTAACAGGTAACTTGCTCTATGGGTAAGCTGTTAATACAATCACACTGAAAATCAGCTTTCCCTCGGTTTAGGGATTTGTTTAAATTAAAAGCAAAATTTGCTTAGAGGAGAAAACAGCTTGTTTTTGTTCTTTCTTGTATATCTCTTATTTGCAGTAGAAATAAAAATACTTGGGCGGAAGAACTTTGGGAGGGTGCAGAGTCTGCTCAGGGGAGAAGCTACTGTTGTACACGTAACTCTGTAGGTTTATATCTGCAGGTTCAACAAAGATTTGGCCTCAGAGTCACTACTGTTCCTTTCAGCAACCAGTGAGAATGCATGTCCATGGCAGGGCTGCTTACATGGCCAAATTTGTGGATTGAAGTTTCCAACATAATCTGTGGGCTGAAATTGCATACAGCTTTAAATTGGGTAGTACTTCAGGGAGGTGAACGCTTCTTGTGTCTGCTTCGAGTTTATTTTTGTTCTCTGTAGTTTAAAAGTAAAACAATCTCATTTGTTGCAAGATATGATTTCTTAGCCTGGCTTCTAACCTAAAATTGGTGCAAGGCTAATTTTTGCTGCCTTATCTGTAGTGGGAAGTTTCTTGGTGGAAGAAAGGAAGCAACTGACAGTACCTTAGGCACTAGAGCATCAAGGGGAGCTTAGCAGGTAGCTGCATAAAGTGGGAAATGTATGGTACAATGCCAGCACAGGCTGTCCTTTGATGATTGAGGCAGATGGATGAACCTTTAAAAGAGTTCTGGTGGCTCAGGAGATGCTGGACAATGTGTTGGTCTTCATGCAAAGGCTTGCAGGTTTCAGTGAAATGGCATAAAAGCTTGGCTGGTGTGTGCAAAGCCCAGATGGTATCTCATGCTTGGGTTTGAAAGGGTATTTTCTGTTTGACCAGAGTCTGCCTTTGTTGTTTCATCTCTGTTATAATCATGAGGAAATTTTGATATGGTTTGTGCAGATGCTGCTTGGGTGGCTCAGCAGAGGGACTGGCAAATGGCTGACCCCTCACTTTACTGTGGGACAGCACCTTGCCACTTGAGGTATGTTTGCAACTCTAATACCAAATTCCTCTTGGACTGGACATTTGTGAATGCAAAATACAGAAGAAATGGAGAGCAGAGTTATTTTTATCATGTTGCTTCTTGCAAATGCTATCTAAGAAAGGGAAAACCTGCCTAGGAGCTGTTTCTCCCTGCATCAAAGTCATCCTTTGATTGGGTGGAGAAAAACACATTGTTTATTTGGTGAGGTCTGTGTAAATGAGAATTAAAGGTGGTAAAATAATTTTTCTTTTATTTTTTCACTGAACATTCACTTTTCATTTTGTTCATGGCAACTGAGCAAAGCATTGGGTTTTGGTATTCCTGGATTTTCTTCTAGCTTGAATTTGCAAAACCTAAAATCACAAATGCAAGAAAGAAACAAAAACCATCCAGAGAGGCTGAAGCAGTGGAAATGGAGGAGGAAAGGTATGCAGCAGTGATAGTGCTGTAACTTGCCCTTTGGAACAGAAAATAAAGCTCTTGGTTTGGAACGCTTTTATTTTGAGACAGAACAAATTATTACACCAAGTTCATTCTTTGAACCACATCCAGTACAAAGTTCATTTGATACATTAACTGCAGTTCCACATTTGCAAATATGCTGAATTTGATTTGATTGCATCTTTTGAAAGGCTACACTGGCAGCAAATAAAATGTGCCAGGTGCTTCTCCTGAGAAAAATAACAATTTCTAGTATTTCAGCCTAAATATCTCAAATGCCAACAGTTCTGGTTCTTTTTCTCTATTTCTGCTTTTTTTTAAGAATTGTGACTTGAACTCTCTGAAGCATTAGAAGCAGCCAACTCATGCTTGTGACAGTGGATAGTGTTAGAAAATGTGCTTTGGTCATTGCCAAAACAAAAAATAAAGAAGTGTGTATTGCAAAGATAATCCCCTTCCGGCCCTCTATCAATGTGTCTTGAAAAATGTCCTTAGTAGCAGGGTTGTCTGAGGATCAGTGACACCTGGGGCTGTCTCAGCAGGCTGACTCCTTTGCTGCACACCACAGCCGTGTACAGAGAGTGATGAACTGGTATTTCTCAAGGCTGGTTTTCCCCCTGTCTGCTGGCTATGTTCACCGTGTAGGCAAGCACAGTGCCGGCAAAAACACTTGAAGCCAGACATATCCTTCCAGGCTTTAAGATACAGAATGAATCTGAAACTCAATTCTTGAAATATGTCCACAAAGGAAGAGCAAGGCTGCTGCAAGAAGAGTTTACATTAGCAGAGTCTATGTAATTTGGAGGATCCTAGACATTCCTATCAAGTAATTGCTTGTTTACACAGTACTAGTTCTGGGAAAAGTTGTGGTGGTGCCAGACTGGAAGAGTGAATTTGGATTGTTCAGCCTGGAAACTAGAAGGCTTGGGGTGACCTAATTGTGGCCTTCCAGTACACGAAGGGAATCTCTGAGAAAGATGGAGAGGAACTTTGTACAACATGTAGTGATAGGACAAGGGGGAGATGACTTGAAACTGCTGGTAGGTTTACATTAGATGCTAGGGCGAAATTCTTTACTGTGAGGGTGGTGAGGCTCTGGCTCCCCAGAGAAGCTGTGGCTGCCCCATCCCTGGAAGTGTTCAAGGTCAGGTTCAATGAAGCTTTGAGCAACCTGGTCTAGTGGAAGGTGTCCCTGCCTGTGGCAGGGGGACTTGGAACTCAATGTGCTTTAAGGTCCTTTCTACCCCAAGCCATTGTATGATCTTTATATCACCTGGATTTTGTGCACAAAGGAGATTGCTTTCTCAGATGGTTATTTTACTGTCATCTCCTGGAAAGATTTACTAAAAACTAAACTACTAAAAGAATTGCTTATTGTTTATGGCAAGATTGTAATTATCTAGTTTAGATGTCTTCTTGCACTTATTGCCAAGAACAAGAACTCTTAAGTAGCTTAATTTCCCTTCCTCCTGTCTTTAGGCTAAGTTTGTTCCCATTCCAAGGCTGAAGGATAATGTAGGCAGCATTAATAAATGTACCAGGGAACTGGCTTCTCAAGATCAGGATTATAGTGCAATTCTGTTTATCCAAAACTGAAATGAGAGACTTGGCCAGTGAATTTGTTCTCTGTTCTGTTACAATCCTGTGACTCTTGGAGCAAAAGAGGCTGTTAGAGCAAGGATTTTAGCAGAGACTGAGGAAACATCTGAAAATCAAGCTTCCAGAGAAGACTGGAATACCCAGTAAACCTATGTGCTTTTGTAGATGGCTAACAAGCAACCAGCTTGAAATCCTTGTTTTCCTGCCCCACTAGCTGTGAGTGGTTGGTTGGGGCACTTTAGAAAAGATGAGAAGAAAAATCCTTCTCATTATC